CAAGCTTGTTTGAAATCTGGTTTGACAAAATTAAACAATAAATAAGGAGTATTTGAAACCAACAAATACTGTCATAAATGTTGACATTTACTGGGTTCCCAGTATTGCAATGAATTTTTTCTCCAACCATCACAAAACCATGACATGTCTTGACTGTCGGAAGTCTCTAAGGCTGACATTTTCCTTACTGATAAAAAATGGTATCTTAGCAACATTCACTTTTAATCCTAGGAAAATTTTATGCAAATATCGTTAATAAACAATTTAAAAAAAGTAAAAAATTCAATTTTTTTATTTTTTTTTACATTTTTGCCTCTAGTTTTTTTTTGAGTAAAAATAGGTACAGGCATTGCTTCATAGAAGAAAGTAGATAAAATTTCTTTCAAAATAAGAGGTTGTAAAGTATTTTGAGATGAAAATTGACTCATATATGGTCACTCAAACTTAGCAAATTTTTCTATTTTCGTCGCGTTTACCTTTATACGTTTTAATTCTCATTTTTTGCAAAAAAAAGGAAGGAAATAAGACGTTTCAGGCTTTTCATCATATGAGTTGTTCAAAGGGTCATTAAAAATGAATAAACCGAGGGGTGCTATTAAATTAGAGGGTTGAAATTGAAGATAAGGGTGAAAATGCACTATTGCAGTTTTTTAAATATAGCACGAAAACGAAGCAAAATATCGGTATAGTCCATAGGAAAAATTTTGTAGAGAATTGAATTTCCTATCGTTAATGACTTATTTAAAAAAATTTAAAGAAAAATTTTATGCAAAAAATCGTTAATAAACAATTTTAAAAAAAGCAAAAAATAAGATTTGTGAAGAAGTTGTGTGAAGAGTTATTTATTATTAACAAATAAAACTTTTGAAATAATTTTTTATTAAGTTAAGAACCAATTTGTTGTAAAAATAATATATATAATCATTATTATGTTAAAAACGACATAAATCTAAAAAATATTTAAGTTTGACCGGTTATAACTCGGTCAATATTAGTCCAAAAATTTTGAAAACGCATATTTTGAAGGGAATCTCTATTAGTCATCTAGTTTTTTTGTACAGCAATTTTCTATGCCTACTTCTACGAAAAAAAAATTAAAGTCATAAAAGTAAAAAGAAATCAAAAAATCTTAATTTTTCTTTTTTTTTTAAATTGTTTATTAACGATTTTTTGAATAAAATTTTTCTTTTAAATTTTTTAAATAAGCAATTTCGATGGGAAATTCAGTTCTCTACAAACTTTTTCCTATGAACTATACCGAAAATTTGTTTTTTTTTTCGTTTTCGTTTTAAAAAACTGCAAAAGTACATTTTCACCCCTATCTTTTCATTTTTAATGACCCTTCGAACAACTCATGTGATGAAAATCCTTGAACGTCTTATTTCCTTCCTTTTTTTTGTAAAAAATGAGAATTAAAACGTATAAGAGACACTCGATGAAAATCGAAAAATTCGCTAACTGTGAGTTTGAGCGGTCATATATCAGTCAATTTTCATTCAAAAATGCTTTACAACCTCTTAGTTTGAAGGAAATTTTATCTACTTTTTTTACTACGAAGTAATGCCTACACCTATCTTTACTCAAAAAAACCTAGAGGCAAAAAAGTAAAAAAAAAAAATAAAAAAATCGAATTTTGCTTTTTTTCAAATTCCATGACTACATCGATATATTCTACTTACTACTTTGCTTTGTTATCCAAATTTGGTTTGAATAATTTCACATCACAAATTTATAATTAAATGGCGGATTTCAGTTGGAGAAAAAATAGCATGTTTTATTCGGATCTTTTTTGTCTCGCAATTTTGCTCGCCACAAAATAACACTTTTAATCATAATATAACAATATACTATTTTCGTCAATTTTAACAATTTTATTTTAGAAGTAGTTTTGAAAAAGTATTGATTGTTGCACAGTTGAGAAGTACCTTCTGCATTTTCCAATGTTCCTTATTAATTTTTTAACTTTGCAACCTAGAATAAAAATAACCACTAATGCTTACAAAATAAAATAAAATAATACATAATATGAGTTCCTAATTTTATTATTTCAGATGTACCTAAAAGAAGAATTTGAAGACAATGTTTTTTTCTTTGACATGCTGCAAAGTGAGTTTTTAAAATTTGCCCAAATAGATGAAAAGGGATTTATCAGCGTAGATGAAGAGGGAGTAGAAGCAGCAAGTGGTAAGATAGAAGAATTTTAAATAAGAAAACATAATTTAACAATTTTTGTTCATTAATCTGCTCGTTTGTAATGATCCTATCATTTTTGAAGATGTTGAAACTTGTTTGCTTTTCAGGACTTGCTGTCACGATGGTACCAGCAGAATTCAACAAAGAGGTAAGAGAAAAGATTCATTAATCAAATAAAATTTAACGTTTTGTACAAAACTGATTGATTCAATCATACGAAGCTGTGAAAATTTGTATATTATTGGACATCTTTTTTCAGATCATTTCTCCAGATGGACTAAAGATGTCGGAAATGTCCATAAAAACCGTAATTTCCAACCGATTTGCGAAAACTTTAGTAACGTGCAAGGTCCAAAACAACGACAAGTCAGCGAAAGAAGCCACTTTTACTGTTGTGTTACCTGAAACGGCATTTATTACAGAGTTTGTTATGGAAATGGACGGTAAAAGTTACAAATCTTATATAAAAGGAGTGGAAGAAGCTAGATCTGTTTACGATGAGGTCTAAAGGTTTAGTGTGGATATTGCGCTGTATTAAACTACTATTTTCCAGGCCTTAGCTCGTGGTAAGAGCGCAGGGATCGTCGAAGCCGACGCGAGAGACTCGACACAATTCAACGTGTCTGTAAACATGGAACCTCAATCTATAGCTGTCTTCTTGCTGACATACGAAGAAATGCTCCAGCGTATCCACGATCAATACGAGCTGGTGTTAAATATTTGTCCAGGGAGAATTGTAGACAATCTACACGTGGAGGTAACTAATTTATTGAAAAATTTTAAACCACATACAAGGTGCTTCCTAAGTACAGTCCATGATTTCAGGACACAATTTCTTATGACATTTGAAGGGGGAAAATTAAAAAAAATGTATTAATATTTGAAATAAAATTGGAACAGTCAATGTTAGGATCTTAAAATTTGGCAGTTATTATAAAGGCCAAGCAAATGAAATTTTTAGTCGGAAAAATTATCTAAAGGAACATAATACAAGACATCTCTCATCTAGTGAGTCAAAAAATTGTATTAGCTAACTTTTCTATTTAAACAAATAAGTGAGGAAAACAGTTTTTTCACTTTGCAGGGAAAACCATCAATTTTAGCGAAAAGTGACTCGCAGACAGCTTATAGGGAGTAAAATTATCTACAAAGTGAGACTTGTTAAATTAAAATCGGTTAATAAACAAAAAAGTTATTGCAAAAAAAAA